AGTAATATTCTTACTTATGATAATCGATATTGACAGGTCATGTCTCAATCGATTGCTGAGTTATAAATCGATCGGTTTTGTATCGATTTGTTCAAATGTCATTATTTCCACGAGGTTATAAGTTGATAATTATTTAAATGTGAAATGTAGGAATAAAATGGAAAGTTACAATGATTAAAAATAATTTATTATCATTGACACTTATTTTGTTGTTAATAGTGATAATGTTTAATTAATTAAATACAATTTAAGTGACGAAATTCTATTTTTCGTTATACGTAATATTAAAGTATGATTCTATAAAAAATTACGAATCTTTTAATAACATGTTTTCTAGTTAATCGGATTAAGATACAACACATTTATTGGACATTGTTCACGACGACAGTCACTCGGCCATCTTTATATTTTAATCCTATGAAATCTCTAAGAAACATGCGTATATATCCTTTTATTAATTGTTATTAATTATCATTCAATAAATATTTCGCAATCAAACAACATTCTTACTAGCTGTCGATTACGGAAATCATTAGAAAAATCGACATTATTAAAGTGAAAAACTATATTTGTCATGTGAATATTCAAACTAATATAAGCTAAACAGCTACATTTGAAAATTAATAATTAGATTACTTACATACATATATATATATAACGTTAGGTTCCTTTTCCATTAAGACCTACGCGACGTCGCCGCGACCGCGCACGCTTGTCATGAGGAAGAACCCCTCTGTGGTTCGAAACTAGTAGAGCTTTTCTCAGTATATTCACGTGAGTAACCCGCGATTTTTCGTTAATTTAGTATGTCTCGCGATAGTTATTATAAAAGACCTAATACAACTTAGCATAACTTTGTTTGGCATAATGTAACTACTCATAACAGCTTACGCATAATTTTTAGGCATAATTTCTCTAACCATATTAACGTTTAAACATAATATTCTAAAGCATAAGTATATTTAGCATAACTTTTTTTCTAAAGTATAACCTCATACCTGTCTCCCATGGGAGTAGGCACAGACTATGGAACGCCAATTGCTACGATTCTTACATACCTCTATCGCTTCATCAACAGTCATAAGTCTTTACATGCACACCTACTTAGGTGTACTTTTAATTTGACCCTTCTTAAATAAGCAAGTTAATTTTAAACTGTCAAACACCGCGAGGACACCGGTCACCGCAACCTATTGTTCTTTAAATGTGTCTATAATGACGGTACTCAAAGGGTTAAATAAAGCTAAACTAAAAAAGTGAATGAAATAAAAATTAACCAATGCCAATTGTATTAGTAATACGTTTAATACTACCTAGATAGATCCAATTAATCTAGAATTCTAGATACCCAAGATCCTTTAAATAATGATTAACCCGTGGTATGTTAGAACACAGATCTAAGCCAGACACAATATGTTTTCTATTGTGTCTCATATACCTACTGACATTCAACCAGTTAAATGAAACAATAGTGAATGCTGGATCGCAATTAAAAAAAATGGAAACCATTAATACCTATGTTTTTATAGTAACTACCGTGAGACAAACTAAATTAACTAAAATCGCGGGTTACTCAAGGGAATATACTGAAAAAAACTCTACTAGTTTCGAACCACAGAGGGGTTCTTCCTGATGAGGAGCGTGCGCGGTCGCGGCGATGTCATGCAGCTTACGCTGTTCATGAGATTATTTACGTGAGTAACCCGCGATTTTAATTAACATTAATACCTACTTAGTTATTTTAAAAAATTGTGAAACCTACTATTGATAAAAATACACTTTAGACTTGCAAATTAAGTTCAGGTAAATTACAATTAATTTCATTAATAAATCGATAATTGTTTCGCATTGAAATTTTTTATCAGTAATTTTTTTCGCAGTAAAAAATTATTTAAATTACCATATTGCTTAAAATAAAATTTACACAATTTTACTATCACTCAAAGTTTTAATTTGATTATTTTGAATTTTAATAAAGGAAATACTTATTAATTGTTTTCCATTATTTTTTGGAAAATAAACACTTAGGTATTCAAATTTCACATCACTTAGTATTTTTGATAGCTTTTAAAATAAATTAGTACTTATGTCAAATGATCATACTAGATATTTCTAATACTTAAAGTACATACATAACATAAGTACAATTATATATTTAGGTATTGTACCTAATATTATTAATAACAAAAAACTAACGGATATTATTTCTAAATAAGTACAATTTTTAAAATTACGATACCTATAAAGAAGCAATAAAAAAAACTGACGATATTATTAAAGAATATTGTTCAATCCGTAAGAATTAGAATTAAAAAAAATAAGAAATAAGTACATATATTGTCTTTTTCCTTTTTTTATATCACATAGAGACACAAACACCACTTTTTATTATCGTTAAATATGCGTAAAATAAACATGACAACAATATTATTAAAATTAAAGGAAAACATCGCCGCTAACAAATTTCTAACAAATGTTACAACAAAAAAAATATTACAAGTAAACCGTAAATGCGGAAGTATGTTCGTAACGTAATAATTGCCACTCCGTAGGGTAATAAAACTAAGATATTATTTAAAACAATAAATTAAAATTATTATGTCAAACAATATCATTACGCCTGTTACCCCCGAAGGGGTTGGCAGAGGTGCAGATTACGGCACTTAATGCCACTGCACAATGTAACACTTTTCATTATTTAGGTATGTTATATTTAAGTCCCATATATTAGAAGGTGAGCCTATTGCCATATACCGGGCACAATTCCATACTCCGTGCTACTACTGATAATTATTTTAAAAACCCAGCAATACTTAGCTTAGCAGAAATGGTACCCGAGACCCCTTACCCGGCAGTTGCACTCAATTTTATTATGTTTATGAGTTAAAAAATATATTTTATATGTTAGTGTTGTGTTTTGTGTGTTACTTATGCTTTTTAAATTAATCAAATTACTTGTAAAGGTAATTTAACAGCTCTATATATTTCTTATTAAATAAGTTCAGTGCCTTTAGCCAAACTCCACTTTAGCGCTTGTCTACAGAGAGAGAGTAGAAAACTAATTAATGTATGGGGATGACACTGACAAGTGTCAAAATTTACGTCAATTCCATATAATTTGGTTTTCTATTCTACAAGTAGACAAGCGCTAAATGGCATTTGGCTACAGCTGCAGTACTGACAATGTTAACGATATTTGATTTGGTTGGGGAAGTATGAATTTTAAGGTCAATTTTATTATAGATCAATTGTACAATCACCTTTTTTTTTACTTAAACATGCAACCATGAAACGCTAGTATATTTCTTACAGAATAAAGAATGGTAATACATCTTTAATTAGACCTAAGAAAAATAGATTGAATTATTTCGGTCATAAAAAATATAACAATGAAAAGAAATTATGACAAAAGATCACAAATCGTATGATTAACTGTGATAAACATAAAAGTAATAAAAAAAACAATACGTAATAAAAAAGAAAAACAACTGCTAGTTCTACTAACTCTGACGATAACTAATATACTTCCTACCTATGCAATTGTACCTGCATTTTTTTTTAGTGAAAATCAATTACTTGTATCAAAAAGTAAAAAACATACTGATGTTTTAAGTAGGTGCAAAGTATTTAGTTTTTGAACACAAATCGGTTCTCACTACAACTTAGGTATTTAAAAATACAATGGTATTAAATAAAAAATTGCGACTAAACTCACTAAGTTATCATTAGCCATAATTTTTACAACATAAGTATTTAATAGAATTGAATTTCACTAAATATCAATCCCTTTTTTTAAAATATGAAGCAGATTAATGAAAATAAAATCATTGTATTATAAGATTATAACATAACAACACATAACATAACATCACGCCTTTTATCCTCGAAGGGGTAGGCAGAGGTGCACATTACACCACTGTACAATGTAACACCCACTTTTCACTATTTATGTTATGAGTCCCATGTAATAGGGGGTGAGCCTATTGCCATATACCGGGCTCATTGTTTGTATTATTTGGCACAATGAATAAAAAATTTGGCAGATTTGTTCAGACGCTGATATAGACCAACATATATAAAAACTGGTCAGTTCTGGAAATATTACATACATACATACATACATACATACATACATACGGATCGAAATGATAACCTCCTTTTTTAGAAGTCGGTCAAAAATAAGTAAGTACCTATAACTATTTTTATTTTTGTTATAAGTATTTCTTTATAGTCTAAAGTTAATTTTGATGTTTCATTTGGCATTTTTTTACCTATAACTTAAAGTTACTGATTTTACTGTGAGACTTAATGATTTAATGTTCCGTGTATTCTCTGTTGGAGATTCTTTTTATATTTGTATTATGTGATGGATCACCATTAGTATTAGGTACTTTTTTCATGTCGTCACACTAAGATTCTATTCACACTAATTTACATGTTACACTCCATTAAAGATTTACTATAATTATAAACTATCCGAATATTCCTAAGTTTTTATGATAATGACCTCAAGACAAGAACTGAGATACCTAATTGTTTTACCATCAGGATATTGAAATAATTAATTTAGAATTTCCGTATCAACAAATAAGTATATTTTTTGTTTTATTAGGTATAAAAACTTTCGGTTATTTATTCTGAGCATTTAATTATAACTTTTTATCTGTGTTTCTACTTAATTTTTTTATCGATGAAAAGGGTAAGCAACTGTTCATTTTTATTGTTCAAATTGATAATTGTGTTTTCCTATTAGGTGCAATGTGCATTAGTTAGAATTACACACAATAACAAGTTCCTTCAAAGTTTACAGTGAAGCGTTTAAGTTTCCCGTTTTTTACAAACAAGTTCTTCGAATCATAAGTAAGTATTGCAATAACGCTCAAATATTTTCTTCTAAAGTGAGATAGTTTTTAAAGTTTTCCCACAACACAAAACCATCGTCCCGCGCGTCACTTGTAAAACATATTTTTATATACGGTCTGGAGTGCACTATATCCTACCTTTACTGCTGGCACCATCCTCATTGGAGTCCTCACTGGGGGGGCCATGTGGGGCCCGAGCCGGCATAGGGTGCGGCAGCCTGGGCCGCGCCAGGAACGGCGGAGGAACACCGAAGAACGGCAGGAACGGCGGCCACGGAGGCCGGGGGGCCAGCTGCGCCGCGGCCGCCGCGTACAGCTGCAGCGGCGCCGGCAGCCCGCCCTCCAGCACCATGCCGCCGCTGCCCGAGCCGCGCCTCGCGCCCGATATCTTGCCCACCGCGCTCACGTACGAGCCGACGCCATGCTCGCGTCCCACCGCAGCACAATGTCTCCTTGACTCACGCAGGCAGCACTACACTATGCACTATGGCGCGCGCGCCGCGGTCGCTCGGTACTACGAGTGCTCGGCCCGACACGCCGCGCCCGCCACTGCCATGGCGCGCCCGGGGGCGGGGCCACCTTACCCCCCCTACCCCCCACCACTGCACAAATTAATTCTCCGCCTCCTTCATATCATAGATTTATTTCTCCGACAGTACATCGCGCCCGCTGCTAAACGCTTTCAAACCTTATGCCATGAAGTTACAGATCTGTATTGAATAACGGCCCATAAATTAAGGGACGGCATACATTGAATTAACGGTAACGTAGGCGACGGGTGGCGGGAAGTTGAAATAAACCTTATTTATATGACGATAACGTTTGTTATCGCACAGAAGAGGGTCCGACATGGGATTTATAGGGTCGCCGTACGTTTGCGGGCCCGTGGGGTTGTCATAATCTTTTTCAGCCGCATGGCGCGCCGCCACACTGTGACATGTACAGTATCGGCAAGGAGTTATGTTATGGAATGTTGCGAACGTTTACCATTGCCCTTTGGTTACTTACCTACAGTTTTGTATGAGAGCCAAACTTTGTCAATGTGTTCGGGTACAGCGTTACACTGCGATCATACGTTAATATTTCATTTGGTTCTGTTATATCTTCTCAGCTAAACTAAAACATTTGGAAATTATGATTGATGTGTGATCTATTCGACCGGCTGAGATGAAAGGTGTTTATTATCTGTAATGAAGTAGAAAAAAATAAATATAATCATAGGAATTGTTCGGAGGTAATAACTAATAACGGGTTATATTTTTTGATTTCAGCCATTCTTTTAATTTGACAGGTGATTGTATGATGGGTGAGCAATCATCCGGCGGCGGCGAGCGCCTCACAGAGATGCGCACAATAGCGTTGCGTAAAACTAGATTACGACGCCTCCCAATCGCTCTAATGACGGACAAACTATCAATCATACAAAATTAACACGTTTCAGATTATATTTTTGACAGTGATGAATCATAAGCGACCGAAAGGCAATCAATTTCACAACCAATTCCTTATTCCATTAAACAAAAAAGTAATAACGTAATTGACATAAATAATAATAAAATATGTCAAGACAGCGTAACGAGCGTTCGGACGCGACATGACAGCTCTATCAGGAATCTGGTACTGAGTGCAGGGAGGGGCGGCGCCGGCGGCGGGCGGCGCGGCCATTGGCGGAGCGCGGCGGGGGGGCGGGGGCGGGGCGGGGCCGGCGGCTCAGCCTTGCATGAATTTAATTAGTGCGAGGAGCACCTCGGGCGCATTAGGAGCCGCGATGGGCGAAGCAATAAAAGATATAAAGGAATGAGTATAAATTAAAAGTTAAATAGAGAGCGGCGCGTGCGAGCGAGAGGTCCGTGCTGCTCGTAATTGTTTGACGATCTTATTAGTATCAGTTAAATGTCGTTCTCTCTTTTTCTCGCGCGAATTTAATTACTTTTTAATTAGAGAGTCGGTTAATGAGAGTTTTGCAGGATTCGCTGCGGGCGTCGCGGCCCGCTCGGTACACTTCGTATTGTCATTATTGCGAGTTAGTGTAATCGGGATGTATTGATTCTGTAGATTACAAGTTTTTCAGATAAATCTCTCGTGATTGGGGGGTTTGTGACTGATTCTCTTCGCGAAGATAGACTTTTGGAGATGTTTTATTTTTCAGATAAAGATTTCTTTGTTTTTAGGTATTAGATATAGATAGATCCGGAGGTTATACGCCGGGGTCGTGCGGTCCATGGCCCTCTACGGCGCCCCTGTTTGGGCGCCGAACTTGTTGCGGCGTCCTGCTCGGACGCTGCTCAAGTCACAGAGGGTCATGGCGATCCGAATGATCCGCGGATACCGCACGATCGCTGGGGAGTCGGCGAACCTCCTTGCCGGATTACCGCCGTGGGATCTGGAGGCGAAGGTGCTCGCGCGCGTGTATAACATGCGCGCGGAGGCACGTCGCCGGGGCGAAACTCCGCTGCCGCGCCAGATAAGTGCGTGGCGGGATGAGCTCCGGCGCGATCTCATGGCGGAATGGCAGCAACGACTGTCGCAACCGAGGGCTGGGCTCGCTGCCATTGCAGCGGTAAGTCCCCTCTTTGAGGAGTGGCTTGAGAGACGCTACGGCGTCCTCACCTACCGCCTGACGCAGGTCCTCACCGGACATGGAAGTTTCGGGAGGTACCTGTGTCTGATGGGGCGGGAGGAAACGCCCGGGTGTCATCACTGCGAGGACCGCCCTGAGGACACGGTGGAACACACCGTAGCGGAATGCCCTGCGTGGGCTGAGCACCGCCGTGCCCTCAGGGAAGTGATCGGCGATGGCGACCTCTCGCGTCCGGGCCTAGTGCAGGCCATGATGCGGAGCGAGGGGGACTGGGATGCCGTCTCCTCCTTTTGCGAAGCAGTCATGCTAGCTAAGGAGGAGGCGGGACGCGTGAGGCAGCGAAGCGCTGCCTCCTCGCGACCCAGCCATCGCGAAGGACACACCGGGCGTCGGGGATCGCGGGACGATCTCCGGCCACCGTAAGCGCGGGCCTGCGGACGGCGAGCATGGGTGGCTCCCCGTCCGACCAGAAACAGACCCGAGCGTACGGCGCGTCGCGTTCCGCGCGCGCCTCAAAGAGCCATCAGACCACCACAGATGGGGCCCAATAGGGCCGATGCCGATTCGGAGTCGCGGAGAACCTAACGGGTAACCGGGGCTCCGGCTCGACGTGCAGGAGAAGGAACGGGGTGGTTTTTAGTCAGTAAGAGTCTGACACTCCCTTCCGCCTCACCCAGGCGGGAGCAGTCATTCGATGATTTTCCCCCCTTAAAAAAAAAAAAAAAAAAAAAAAGATATAGATAGATTCTTAGTTTTCTAATTAAGTATGTATCTTTATATTTCTTTTACTTCCTTTTTCTTAAGTATGTACCTATCTTTATATTTCTTTTACTTCCTTTATCTTCTTCGAATAGAGAGACCTCTCTATTTCCACATTCTGGAGGTTAAAAACTGCAATAAAGGCAAGCTGCGGTGCTTAATCATTATGTAGATATTGTTGCATCAATTTCCTTTAAAATATAGTTCATCGATAGAACACATATTTACCTACTAAGTATTTAAAACTTATGAACTCAACCATGTCTCAGATTGTTCAGGATAGAGATGTCTTTTTTTAAGGGGGGAAAATCATCGAATTAATGCTCCCGCCTGGGTGAGGCGGGAGAGAGTGTCAGACTCTTACTGACTAAAAACCACCCCGTTCCTTCTCCTGCACGTCGAGCCGGAGCCCCGGTTACCCGTTAAGTTCTCCGCGACATGGCAGAGATATCTTCGATTGCAGTTTACAGGGCAGATGATGCGCAAATGGCTTGCATATGCATAGGTAGGTTATGTAAAAGTTTAACAGTCTTCTTCATCGTCCCAAAATCTTCAGACTCCAATAAATAGGGGACCTACATGACTAATTTTTATTTTAATGTCCGTCTGATAGATTATTTTAAAACATTAGATTTTAGTATTTTTAATTAATCCTTTGTTGAAATATATCGCGTTACTATGTGCTTTGATTCGTTCTATCTCAGTATTGTTGTTTTACAAGAAAATAAGAAATACGTGTCTAATATTTTTTCATAACCTAACTGACGGTTTAATATATTTTAATTTTCATACCCGGTCATCAACCCTATTTCTCACTTAGACTATAAATATAGGCTATTCTAAGTACATAATCACGAAGGCCAGCAACCAAATATCTGATTTTTCATTTTAAATAACGTTGCCCCATACTAGAATTTTTTATGGCATAAGCCGGTAAACGAGCAGACGGATCACCTGATAGTAAGCAATCGGCGTCGCCCATGGACACCTGGAACACCAGAGGCGTTACAAGTGCGTTACTGGCCTTTTGGGAATTGGGAATTTGAGGATTGTGGAAGATTCGGGGTTGGGGAGACTAGGGAGGGTAATTGGGTCTCCTGTACCCTCACAACGAAACACAACGCAAGCGTTGGTTCACGTCGGTTTTCTGTGAGGTCGTGGTATCACTCCGGTCGAGCCGGCCCTTATTATTAATAAATAACCCGAAATTATTATTAACATGGACATTCTCAAGTGTCGTTGAATCGAAGATCTCTGACGTTATGGGGGTTTCCTTGTGCGGCATTAGATGGTTAGTCTACTCGTTTACCTTTCTTTAGAATACGAAAAAATCCCTCAAAAGGCCTCTAGCTTTTAGTGAATAAAGACTTCTAATTTCACACGAACAAGCCCATATATGATAAAAAGCATTGCTGGCTTTACCTAAGACAAAAGGTACTATATTTATTTACTTCTAAGGTAAACAAAATTATTAATACATTCAAACACATAACCGCATACATCAGACATTTCAGTCGACACTACAGCTGTATAGCTCTCTCTCTCTAACACATAGATATTCTCTATCTCCATCTCCTTCTTGTCATTAGGCGGGCTATGCACGCGCGTATCGTTATTCCTCATTATGTCGGGCTTACGTTCAAACGTTATGTATTGTCTGGCGGTGTATGGGCCGCTTTACTTGCTTTATTGATGTGCTTCTAACCTCTAAATATGCTTTCTATATGTTGAATTGCTTGAGTAGTTATTTTAAGAAGTAACTAAGCGGAGAAAGTAATAGGATAAAAAGTGATTACAATTTTTTAAAGTCTACTGTTGACTGATAATTTTGATGTTGGGTCGGTCAAAGTGTTATTGTGTATTTCGATTTCAAATATATCAGCAGTAAATACATAAAATGAAAACTTCTAAATCTAGCGCAATACTACAAATAAGTAAGAAAATTTATATTAGTTTTTAAAAAAATGCCGTAGCACGGTCATTTTAATTTCTATTATAATACACCAAGAAAT